AAATCTCGTAGTCAAGGTGGCGTCAAAAAGGAAAAATTTTTTTTCATGTTTTACATCCAGATTTATTTTCAGTTAATATATCTTAACCATGTTTATTTTTTAATTTATACATAAGCTTATATAAATAGCGATTTTGTTTATGTTACAATTAACTGCAAATGAATGATAGTGAGAAAACAGTCAAACGGGATATATATAATAGTATCTATAAGTCGAATGTTGAACAACGACCGCCTGAAGAGCTTGTTAAGTAAGGAGTTGACTGATTAGCCGATTGGTGAACCTTTGTGCGATTGTAATGAATTGCCGCGAAATTTCACATTTATATATATACTAAGGATCCCGGTATTGGGTAATTGATTAGAATACTACTCCGTTCCTTAAACTTATTCATTGTCAGATTTCGTCATATTTGACTGTGCCAGTTGAACAAACTTTACAAAAAAATTTGGTTTGATAGTGGAACTATGCGCATTTTTAAAATGAATAATTCCTTCTTTTTTTGAAAATGGTGGTATACTGAGATATTTCTTTTCTTTCCAGTTTTTCGGGCATTCATTAGTGGATGTAAAAGCTTATAATGCAAATCCAATGCCCAATGTCAATTTTGGTAATTCCGGGACGTGTAAAGACCAACATCTTATGTTAAAATGATTTACATTATGATGCCGAATAGATATAAATACACAATTGATTTTGGTTTTAGGCGTCGTTTTTCTGCGCGCTATAGAAATGTGCGTTCAATTTCGTTTTTATACGATTTCATGGAGTTTCGCACGATAAAACGATTAAACGATTTAGAATCTTATCGTGATGAGCGACATATGCACAATTAATTTGATGTGAAATTTTTTACCCAAGTTTAAAAAATTTTTGTTATCCTTAAGTAAACTTTTCTAGTTACTTGTTGTTTCTCCGATCTTTGTTACGGACTTTTTTTGGAACATATTCAGCGCGTACAAATAAGCTTACGTGCGTTATTCTTACATAGTTCGTTGTTTAGGCGCACGTGAAAAACAAACAGCGTACGATATTTAAATGAAATTGTTACACACTGGCAACAACTGAAAGTCATTTCCTATAGAAATCTCTGACAATTAATTTTCTTTTGTTATCATTATAATTTTCTTTTTATTTTTATTTTTATTTTATATTATTTATTATAAGTATATGTTATATTAGGAAACAGTGTAGAGTGTGGTGTGGTTAGAAACGTGCAGAAAGAGTGTACAAATTTGAAACAAAGGAAATTTGATTGTTGAATATGTCACTTTGTTTTTCATTACAATTGTTATTATGAAATATTTCGAAAATATTTATAAATTCTGCCTCTTCTTAAATTTGATTATTTGTGGTATTAACAAAAATGAAAACTTTATGATCATATCTTATAACAAAAGTAGCAATCACAGTATATTTATTTGCTCGATTTATTGTATCATTAAGAAACTTTTTTTATTTTATTTAATTTTATTTAACTTCATACATCACATGTATGAGAATTCCTGAAAATTTCCTTGAATTAAGCAATACCTGAATAAATATTTGGTTTATAGAGAGAAACACATCATGGAATTTCTTAAAAAAGACAATGTGGGACGTATGAGTATCGTATAATACATATCCAATGTAAACATTAGTTGAGTGAAATATTTAAAATTTTCAAATTTTAGAGAAAACGTCGATAAAAAGAAAACCACCAGCAACTAGCTTGCGTCGAATTTCGTCTACCCATTACTTGAACGCCGATACTCCCATCAACAAATCAAACAAGAGTATTTTGACTACGGGCTTTAAAAGAAGTAAATTTCAAATTGAAGTCAATTGAAAACTTCCGGATGTGTCATCTATACGTCTATCTTTTGTATTAAGCCACTTGAAATCTCATGATTTTTCCCCACTCGTATATACCTTTTTTCATTTATTTACTTATTCCACTTATACAAAAAAACTTAACTAAAAATTTTGACAGTCGAGTTCAATTGATTCTTAAAGTAAATCTTAAATTATTTAATATTAAAACTTAATATAAGTACAATAAAACAAATCAGAAGGAAAAAAAAGAAAAAAAGCATGTACACTACTAGCATAGACCCACACCCACAACCGGTACAGGACCAAATTGCGATTGAACCCGTAAGCCATCGCAAACATGCATAAGCTTGGCAACCGATATTAGTTCACAACAATTCATTTTCGACTCATCGTGACATTTTAAGGTTAAGAGGTAGTTTAAGTACGACATAAGTAAATTACGCGTATTAAGTAATGTTGCTTTAATGGACTTTAAAAAGTCCGATAATAAGAATAAGTGATAGATATCATTTAGGTTCTTGCAAACAACTCTGAGCGGCTTAAACAGCTCATAATTATATTTACATTGACTAAGCTTAACCAAGATAAAGTGCCTAGAGAAGCGGTGGGGGACATTAAAGATTATTTATATAAATGCCAAGAACAAATCTACGTTTTTCGAGAGACGGTAAGGACAAAAGAAGCAACCTATTTTCATAGCGGGGAAGAGAGGCAATCGGATCCCATCCCAAATTCCTAAGGGCAAACAGCAAAAGTTGCTTTTGAACAGATTCAATTGAATCTACACAGCACCTATATGAAGGAGACCATACAACAGAGGCATGCTCAAGTATAGGTCTAACCAAACACATGTAGAGCCTTTTAGTAATGTAAGGATATGACACACGATTGATTTGAAGTGACATTACTGAGCTCTTAAAAATTGAATTTGCATTTTCTCAGATGGTTGTAAATTGTATACAAATCTCGCATCGATGGCTTTTTTACAAAGACCTGTTGAATTATTGAGAACGAATATGCGCGTATTCTCGAAAGTGGCACAATACATGTAAAGAAATTTATTCAAACATTGTCAATTGTATGGAATTTGTATTTTCTCAGATGGTTGGAATTTGTGTAGAAATCTCGCATCGATGGCTAAATTCTGAAAATGTCTTCGAATAAAGTTTTCGATAGTTTGGACTTCTGCAAATTAGTTTCTTAAGCGCTCTCTTTTAAATTTTCTTAACGCTGAAATGCGAGGAAATAAGCGAAAAGAAAACTTATTGTTTAGTTCCTCAGTTAAGACCAAGATTATGAGCAAACAAGCGATTAAAAGCAGTCAGTAGGCATAAAGCATTCTATTACCTGGTTGTTTTCAAACCAGTACCAAAGGTGTTTTTCACCTTTCATGGCAGCAATGTAAATATTAAGTATGCTACTCAGTTATTTTCGCTTCAGCGATTTTTCCACAACTACAAAAAGTTGTGCAGGCGGAAACCGTTGAGTGACCAAAGTATTTTCGGCAGTAGCCGATGAATATTTTGGAAAGTTTTAAGACTAATTTTAATCATAGCCGATCACTCCTAGTTTTTCCTTTTTGCTTTTAAGAACCCTTGGAGAAGAAATGGCGAGCTTAAACTCTGGCCAAGTAAATATTACCTTTTACAATTCCTATGTTTTGACTTTCCCGTCTGAGAAAATTGATACCATAGGTTATAACCAGCTTCTCAACTCAAGCACGCAGACCAAATTTTCAATTAAATGTCGAGTAGTTATAAGCATTCTCCTACTTAAAGATCGTCCTTAAGCGAGTATAACTTTTTTTCAATTATCTCAATTATAAACTTTTCTTATCCATTTTTAGTCATATGATTTGCACTTCGTTGTATGTTGAAGCTGATGTGTGCGTTGAGCCAAATTTATTGAAAATATGTTTCCATGCGTTTTGTGCAGGAAAAGGAAGAAGTAAGGATAAATTTTACGTTAACCAATTAAGCAATTGCGAGATCACGTCAACCAACCATACAATCGATAACATTTGTATAATCGTTACAAACCTCGTACATCCCTCATATTACATGGCATAAACAAGTAATGAGAATTAAAAGATTTGGTTAAAGCTAGATGTAAAACTTTTTTTTTGTTTGTTAAGATTTTTAAGGTTTGTTTTTGCTATATTTTAAGGAAGCTTTTTCAACAGGGGAAATCTCACTTTAGTATTTTTCATTCATAGCATCCAATTCAAAATATTGAATACATAGTATATCTCTGTAAGTCAAGAAATGCTTAACAATGGTGGTTCATCCCCCAGATATTTTTGATCTTATCCATTCTGCCGTTATCTAGTGTTTTATGAGATGTGGGTCTTTTTCCTTTATGAAGTCGGCAGCTTTGGCTCTTCATCTTTACCAAAATCTTTCTAATGAAAGCCTCACCTTTAAGATTTTGTTTATCTCAATATGTTAAGCTTATATGCGCTGCATCATTTTTATCTCTTCATGCATCTGGACTTTAACCACCCGTCGAACTCAAAATTCGAACCTAAATTTCTGTAGCGCATAACCATATGTTTTGGAAACTACATGAGCTATTTATTTATTTATTATTGCTTAACGTGAAGTGATTATTCATATATTCGCTGATATTTCTACAAGAGGAAACATTTGTTAAAGCAATTTAGGTACAAATAAAATACATTTGGCGCGGGCAGGTGCAATGCGCCTGTGATTGTCCGATAGATCGAAGATATGATGTGTCTTCTATATAGGCCGTACATTCAGCATATCGTAAGTATTTCAGACTTGATAATACTACCACGTAAACATCCAAACTAACTAAACTGAACTGAAACTCATTAGCCTGCCGACAATTTAAGAAAGAATGGTGTAAAAGACAAAGGTTAGGTAGAGATAAGTTTTAGTTTCTACAAATGTCTGTAAAGTGCAGCCCGATTAAATAAAAGAATTTCATTCATATAATTATAAATATTCAACACTCCCTTCTATTGTTTATATGCTTGTAGTGAAATGATAATTATTTATGTTTTAGTTTTTTCTTTTTCTATTGGTTTTTGACGGACTATAGGAGAAAAGCGTACACAATATATTATATATTTAGAGGGAAAATAAATGAGCGAACTTTTAATTTTGTAAATTTAGAGGGGAAGTAAATGAGCGAACTTTGAATTTTGTTAATTTAGAGGTGAAATAAATGAGCGACCACTTGTTAGAATGTAAATATTGGAAATATTTATTCTCCTTTCGCTTGATTGTCGAATACTTAGAAGATAATGTTAAATTTTCTATCAAAAACCAGGCAATCTTTCCTTTAAAAGTAAGCTTTCCACTGACTTATTGAAAGTTATGCCATTCTTATTTGATTTGACCTCATGAAAGCGTTTTTGCGGTCAATATTTGGACAATAAACGTTGATGGAAAACAAAAATCATGATCTAAATTATCTCAATTTTTTTCGTTTACCAATGCATCATCACTTGGTGACCGGCTATACGGGCAACATGACAATATATTATATAAATTATATATCGTGTAACTTAATGCTATATAGTTTATATGGTTTATTTTCCTGTAAGCATCCACATATCACACGTTCACACGTCAGCTAAGCGGTTCTCTCTAGCAGAGATTTTTCCTTAAAAATTTTTTATTAGTTTTAAAGCGTTTTATGTTCGTAGACTTTCCCCTCTTACTATTTGACTAATGTACACGTATGTACAAAGATGTTTATGGTATGTGGTAAGTAATTAAAAAATGTTATCATTTTTTTTTAAAGTCTTATTATAAAGAAACACTTATGTACACATTTATACAGCTATTGGATAATTTTTGTTTTATGTTATTTTTTCACTTAAATTTTGCCAGAAGTAAGCCGTCGCCTGTAAGAAAGCAAAGAGAAATAAATTAACTTGGTTGTTATTCAATTTTTTGCGTGCAAATTGCATTTGCTTTAATGTAGTACAAGAAAAACTTTATAGGTATTTAAATAAAAAAAAAAAAAACTAAAACATTTATTCAACTAAAATGACTCTCTCATTGGATGAATACTTTAGAATATAATGAAAAAATAAAGAACTAAAACGGAGATGGAAGCAAATCGTTTTCACTCGTCGTTGATCTCTTAGCGAGCTCCGAAGATATGCATCAGGTAGTAGATCAAACATTCTACGGCTAGTAAGATGCAGTTATTTTTCTATTAGAATCACGTTTCTAATAAGATCATGCTTGAGATCATCTTTGAGGTCACATTCGCTTTCATCCTGAATTTTCCAATAATCCGCCTTAATGTATGTCGCGAAATCGAGATAAAAACTATTTATGGAAAGTTATAGTTTGTTTACGAGGGCGGGTGACCTGCATTCTTTCACTAGATTTAGGTTACAAATTATAAGGACCAGCTTTAAACCTTTAATAATAAATTTTGGTAATCGCCAACGGTAGACACAAAATTGTGCGCATAATACAATGCGAACACTTCATTATTCCTTTAAGTTGATTATTAGACACTACAAACCGGAAGAAAAAACTGCTATACCCCATAACGTAAAATGTTCTGAAAATTACTTTCAAACTATAGTCAGTTTTGCTGTGATTTACGAGAAGCCATAAAATCACTTCAGTCACTATAAAAGTGTAAGCAAAAGTTTTCATTAGAATCTTTATAATCCTCTGTATACACGTAAGTGGGTATACTAATTTGCACTATATATTTGTAACACTCAGAGGGAATTAACAACAGCTTATAAAGTTTATACATTATCGATTGTGGTGATTTCCTAACTGTGTTAGCTGTTCATCCTTCTAGCTACTTAGTAGCTAGTTTCAAAAGCGGTTTCACTCTCAGTTATCTCAGTTATTAACACATTAAACATTGATATGACCTCCATTCGCCAGCAAATGCACTCATAACAGATGAAAACTAAAAACTTCTTGGAAGGAAATCTAAACAAGCTTTACTCAATAAATTACTGCCCAGCGAATTAATTGTTTTAAAATTTTCTGCAAATGTTTATCGAGGTCGCAGAAATATTTCGCTTAAAAACACTTTTAGTAAAACAATAAACTTATTTGTTATTCGACAAGTAACTATGATTCGTTCTACAAAGAAGAACCGTTCTCGCCGACGAAGGAAGGGGGTATATCCTTTTGTTAGCCACACCCAGCCGAGAGCTTGAGAATGGAGTGATGATATTCTGAAATGGAGACAAATCGCCATACACTACGGCGTAAACTGATTTTTTGCTCGCTGCTAATAAACAATAACAGATGCAGCGATAAGGATATCCAGACATGTGACAAACTTAGTTAATGAGAATGATTTTCTGCTTTTAGCTGGACTTTTTTTAAGATTACTAAGATCGTAATTACAAAAGATAGAGCAACAGAAGACATACAAAAAGTTTATCTATCCTACATTCACGTGGGTGGAAAAAACGTTTAATGCATGGAGTTTTCAATGTTCCAAATATTTCGCAAATGCGCAAATGCGTCTTCTACAGTGGATATAAAAAAGTACTGGAGTATGTGGTACAAACAAACATGCATTAAACATGCATTTTATTTGCGGAGAAGGGTTTTTTCATCCGATATATAACCAACGATATAAAAATGGAGTTATCTGTACTCCACTATCAAATCGGCAAGCAACAGAGTGGACAACAAGGAAGGGGCCCAAAGAGACCAAAATCGCAACAGTCGGCTGGGAAGATTATGATATCCTTATTTTGGGATACGCCTCATACAATGTTGATCGCCTATCTTGAAATGGTACAAAGGATCAATACTGCATGTGACATTGCATTACTGCGTTTACATAATGAAATTGCAAGAAATACTCAAAAGCACAGGAAAGAGATGCAATGAAGAGGTACTCTCCAAAACGAAGGCGTATACTGGAGGGTTGAACAGCAGTCCTTGAAAATCGGGATTTGCGCAAGTTGTATTTATTTAACTCAGTACATGAATTAATAATCGAATATGTATAATAATAAAAGCACATTTAAAGAAACCAGCTTTAGAAATTTGACGTCAATCGTGTCATAATTCATTGCATTGTACTTCTCATAATTGCGAAAATCCTAAATTTGATACAATCAGTCCGCATGAAAACTAACAGATTTTCTAAAATTCTAAATATAGTAAGTACGCATTTATGTACTTTCCCGGCCGACGGAGCTGACGGAATGATTTACCACAATTCACAATATTTCATCGATAAAAAGAGGTTAGAATAAAAGTATTACAATAAAATTTGTCATCGGTAACTCGCTTATAATATGTAAGCAGTAATTGCAAAAGGGAAAGTCAGTCCAGTCAACGAGGTAGAATTGTAACATCCGAAGGAGCATCAAAACATTGTAAATAGAAGTCCCTGTAATAGAATTTCTGTGAATAGACTTTGCCAAGAATTGTAAATAAAACCTATGCTGTCCTAAAAACCACAAATCTGTGATACGAATCTATTACGCTGACACAAAGATTTACTTTACCTATTTCCGGTATTAGATATCAACTTTTTCGCGAAAATTTATGGGTATTAGCATATAGTGTGTTCTTGTATGTAAACAAGCAAATGAAAGAAAACGAAAAATGTAGAAAAAGAAATTTCAAATAATTTATTTGAAATTTAAAGGTTATCATTCTAAGTTGTATTTATTTTATTACCGTTATATTATTGATTATACTCGATATCATATTATTAGATGCGAAAAACAGGCAACAAATGCAGGTTACTTTTAATTTCAGGTTAGGTTGTCAAATCAAAACATTTAAGCAATCTTTTTGCCTAATGTATCCACATCCGTGAAGGCTACCTCTATGTTTCTTCTTCATTCCTTATTTCACCAATCAATCAACAATCATCGCTTAAAATATTTTAACTACGAAAATTGGAATAACGCATCATCGTGTAAGCTCTCTCAGCCTCAAAACGAATTAAATAAAAATGTAAAACCGCAAGAGGTCGTTTTACATTACAATACTTTAACATCATCTGGTGAAGACCCTAAATTGATTGACGTCATTCTGTCATTATGAAGCGGAAAATAGAATGCTTGCGTTGTGTCTTGTGTGGGGACTACGAATCGTCAAAATAAAATTGATTGCGCGCATACCAAAATATACGTCTTACTTTGCGTTGTCGGCGAACGAAATTTTTGAAAAATTTTTAACTATTTCTGCCTGCATTGTTGCCTGCGTTGACAACCGAAACAGTCATTTATCGGGTAGATATTTCAAAACGATATCAGAATGGTCACTTATATTTTTCCTAAAAGAAAAACCACAAAATTAAGTTAAAATATATTGTTATCTACTAATCTATACAGGAAACAATTTTTTTCCCTTTATTAGTTTTGCACTTCATTAACATTTATGTATACAAACGCAGACAAGCTACGTGTCCAACTGATTTTCATTATGCTTTGTGCGTTGCGTGGCGCTCAACTGCACGTAAGCATTGTGTTAAATGCTTAATTAATCATTATTCATATGCAAGGAAGAATTAGCATTAGAGTTATCTATGTGATTGTTTTGCTGATTTTTGTAAACTTTTCCAAAAAATTTTTGGATGGAAGATGACCATCGACTTTTTTATTAGAAGTGAGTTCATGCGACGGACTATTAGATTAATTTTGTTTCTCCATTTATGAAAGACAGCTACACCGACTGCGTTAGGGTTTACATTTCGAAGTTTTGTGCGATTGCGATCGCTCTTCTAACATAAGTTGGAAAACAGGCCAGTTTAGAGACATTGTTAGAGACACAAATGTTAACTATACTATATGATCACTGTACGTTTTTTACCTAGGTGGAAGGCGATTATTGTTTATCACAAATAAACTGCGTATTGTAAATAATAAGCCAAACTTTGTGTTCAGATATCTACCTCACCTCTGCAAAAGTAAGAAATCAAATTATTTTATTTATGTAATGTCTATATATTTTCTAAATAAGTTACAAATTATAGATTTAAAGGATGCGGAATAACTTAGGTCATATGCTCGCCTGTATTGAGAACTTTTATCGCACTTGAGATATGGACTTGCAAGGTCGCGTTTCTTTGCCTGACGTTTTATAGAATTTTTACAAAATTCCACGCTCTAGACAATATTTTGTGAGGGAACTCTCTGTTTCAAAAAATAGGCAGATTTATAGACTTAGCTAAATCGACTTGCTCTCTGCGTTGGATAAAAGCGAAAAGAAAAACATTACAGGCAATAAAATAGTTTTAACATTAATTCCATGAAGCGACTAGCTTAGCAATTTCCCTACATATGACTGAAATTTAAAACTGCAACTCTATAACATACGCAATAATTGTTCTTCGATTTGTTTTTCATAAATATCCCCGACCATAAATATCCCGCATAATAATGTTTACAAAACAAAGGCTCTTTCTGTGAAAATAAACAAAAGCTCAGAAAAATTCTCCCCGCAACATTTTTATTATGTTTATATTTCTATGGGATGTGTTTTGCAATTTGCCAGTGTATAAGCACGTAGAAGAACGACCCAATTTGGATAATATTTTCTGTATACATTTTGTCTACTGTAATCAACAAAGAGTAAGATAAAATGATTTGATGAGTTACTATGTATAGTGCCGGTACTGTGAATATATATATACATATTTTGATTAAATACATGTTTCAAAACATGATGCAAACGATAAAATAGGTTATGACAACGCCTGTCACTAATCGAAATATTATTCAGCTATTCTTAAAGCAGAGTTATGTCGTTTTTATATATAAATTCATTGTGTGGAAAAAAAACTTAAAACGAGAAATCATCCAATAAAACTATTAATTAAATATTTAAATAACTGTCTAAATATAGAAAACATAAATAAAAATATATTTTTACGTGTAAAACCAATCATAACGGATTTGAATAGCGTTCACTTGCACGCATAAATTTAACAATGCTAGTGCTATTACAGTTTTATTTTAAGAATGTGCTTCTGCAGTAATTTTTCGTCAATTCACTTACACCTCACTTAACTTTGTTAATCCGGAATAATTCAGAACGCTTTAAATTAGTTAAATAGTATTTCAAACAGTGTTCAGCGTAGCTCTAGGTGTAGTGCGAATCATACCTACCATAAATTTTTCCGAGAGTGAATTAGTTGCTTAGGAGGGCTTCTTTCAATCCGGCTGATGATTGATTACAATTGATATATTGTCCAATGCTTGTAATAAACAGAATTACAATAAATTTAAATGTAAGTGAGAAGAACTATATCAGCTAATATATTGTAAGCTTGTAAATGAGAGGAATTAGTTTTATTATTCAGGATAATCTCCCTTAAGATTAATATATTTTTCGCATTCACGGCATCCTTTTGTGAATGGCAAAAATATTTTGAAATTCACATGTCATATCTTTGATTCGGATGGGTGTGGTTTGTACAGACTTTATTAAGCTAAGTTTAAGTTAAGTTGGTTTCAATCTCGGTCATGTACAATGGTGCGGTTTTTATTTTATGGATCGTTCACAGTGAGTTATATGTAAATTACATCTTCTTGAGCACATATTGGTGAAATTCGGAGTACCTCTGGGTGCCCGCTTTTCTTTCTATCCTGGGGTGTATTAATGCATGCAAACGACCTGAAGCTTTTTATTATTCTTACAACAAAATACAAAAGATTTCGGCGCTTTGAATATGATTTACTTCCATTGGCTGAAAGGGGTAAAGGCAAATGGAATAGCATTGAATATAAAAAATGCACATCTTCGTCTTTTAGAAGAGGGCGCTCTATCCCTTTCACTTACAATTTGATCGGTTGCGTCGTGTAATGATCTTGGTGTAGTTTTTGCCGGTAAACTTAATTTACCTGTCAAGCCAGTGGTGTATAAGGCCGCATAAGGTTTGGGTTTTATGGAAAGATGGTCGAAAGAGTTTAACGACCCTTATATAAGGAAAGATCTTCGCCTTTGGTTTGTTGAATAGGCCTCTCCCGTTTGGTCTCTCAATTAAAATTATTATATTGATATGATTGAATCAATTCACAAACAATTTCTCCTGTTTGCTTTGAGGGGATTGCCATGATATACTAACAGGACATTAACAGAACATCATGAATATCGATTAGTTTTGATCAATTTCAATTGATCGAACGTAGAAGATTGATCCTTGGCTAACTGTTGAAACTTCCTCAAGACGAGATTTAGTGACCTCTTTTGCTTAAGCAGCTAAATTTTATATTTCGTCACGAATTTCAGGGAATTCCTCCCTTCAGTTGTCCCAAAGTGGGAGCAATTGTGAACTTTTTTGCCCCTTTCGCGTTTTATGTAAACAATTTCATAATTATTATTACTTATTTTCAATAGATAGATGATCGAAGTGATTATGTAAAATCGTTGTGGCTTAATGTACGCAGGTAAAAATGCCACTTAATACAATTTAATTTGCCTTAAGGCCAATTTTCGATACCAACCAACACAGTTGAGTTTTTTATACGTTACATGTAAACATTTTATTGTTTTATTAATAAGTTTATCATCATTTCCTTTGTTTGTTAATCGGCTGTCATAGTAGAATGGCCTTTAACTAAACTGTTTAGCCTAACTTTGGTATTAAGTTACATATGAGATTGAATACTATATTATATAATTGTCATTAAAATTATTTTCAATAAATTATTGAATTGAAAGCCATGTTGAACAGGAAATTGAATATTGCCATGAATATAACATTATTGTTTTATAGGCATTTTTATGGTTGCTCCTTTGTTGCTCCATTGTTACAATGTAATCTGACTTTGTATAACTCATCTAATTTTACCTCGTTATAAGGTTACTTGATATTGCCTGTATACTAGCTAATATTTTATATTAAGTAAATAATTATTGAAGGGATTCCATGATTTGGCGGAAGACACGATAAAATCTTTGAAGTTGTGTAAACAGGTAGAAGTCATATTCCAGCATGTATAATGCAGATATAATGGAAAGCATTAATATTTCTACGTTTTGCATTTTAAGTTCCTTCAGTTAGCTATCCGTCCATATTGTCCGGATGAATAATTCTTTTCTTTTTCCATGGTTTATGCTTTTGCAGGAATTTTTTCATGCAGTTAGTTCGGAGCTGGGTAGTTAATCAACAAAGGTCCCCTGATGAATAGGGATTGATTCACTTTGCGGTTTTTTGTTGGAGTAATAAAGAGAAAGAGTGGCGGCGTTTTTGTTTCGAAGCTTAAAAATGAGGCACATTCATCATTGGTCCTCATTTAAACTTCTCCCGTTCTTTTCTGACAGATTTTCCAGCTTATGTATGTATATATATTGCATGACACAATAAGCGTAGGAGAAAGTATATCTCAAACTGTTTTGACTGAGCTCAAGCCTTATATGTTAGCACTATTTTATTATTTCTAACGATTACTATCTGACTGATAATTAAAAAATATAGAAAGCTTTTCAAATGTTAACTATGTACAAGGCAGTTTGCAATGATGTCTCTAAATAAAAAAATACCATCCATAAGACTTATTTGGTGAATTTATTTTCAAGAAGAATTTCTTGCATTAAAATAAAAAATACTGCAAATAATATAAAATTTTACTCAAATTTCATTTCTTTGCATTATTTATGTCCTTTGCTTCATTTTATGCGCGTCCATTTTATTCTAATCAGTGCCGAATGTAATCTGCAGGTTATACACTACCTTTCAATCACACATACATAATAATCGGTAAATTCCTGTGATGATGGTATTTTGTTTGCGCAGTTGTTCACAGACATCGAGATTTATTGAATATATTTTCAATATAGGTAAACTAGCTAAATGTAAATAAAAAAGAAAACTACATTTGAAACTCAAACCCAGACAAAATTTGTTTTTTCAATTTTTAAACAAATCTAAGAAAGAAGAGAATATGCCAGATTTGCCATTTTGCTTGTAACATTCACAAATATGTGCCAGAAATCCAGTAAGAGATGTCTACTGTTAGAAAGCACGCGGTCGAAAAGTTAAAGACAAAAAAATGCATTCTGAAGTTATCAGAATGATTGTAATCCACCCGCAACCACGCGCGCATTCAGCAAACAACTGTAATTTACAACTTGAAATATTGACCTTGATCTGTGTATAAACATGAGGGAGAACCATCCCCAATGCAAGTGAAAGGAGAGTCCACGGACAGACACGCCGGAAACTTACAAAACATTGGATGATAAGGCTACAAAGGGTGTGAAGTTATATTTAAATATAACTAGCAAACACCCAAACCAAAAATATTTTACAGCGCCTTGTTAAGCCGTTAACAGAATTGTGTTAAACGAAGTCTAGGAGGGATTTAAGTCAAAATACAGTTAAAATATAACTTTTCGAGAATTTTTTTTACAAATTATTATAAAAAAACATTTCTTTATGTAAATTAATCAATATTTGAAAAGAAAATAGTTTTACACTATGTCGTAAATGAGGTTGATAAAGCGAAAGCTTGTTTAGCTACTGTGGACAAATCATGCCCTGTGACAAAATGAAACTAGTACGGCGCGCACTATCTATTAATAGCCTTTCAAACTATATGTAGGTTATTTTAAGTTTTGCTCGGAGAAATCAGGCTACAATTTATCATTAACCTAAAGCCTATTACAAATGTTTTGTAAATTCGTTGAAAGTTTCGACAATCGTCCACGTTTCGAAATGTAATTATAATGTATGGGCTTGATGAAAAGGGTATCAAAGATACGCTCTAAGACGTATGCAGCTTTTTATTTGCTCTGCTATGCGTACTTAGATTTTTGTTTTTTCCGCAATTGTGACCTCTACCTTCCATGAGCAAACGTGGATAAAAATATGGGTGTTGCTGTAGTTTGGCAAAAAACCGGAAGCATAAAATATTGATTTTTTCAACAGAGGGATTGCATTTCGTTATCGAATTTATAGAAATTATCACCAATTAATAGAATTTTAGAATTTAAAAAAGCAAAAGAATTAACTGAAAAATTTACCGATTTTCATCCCTCATCTGCTCCGACTTTGGGTGCCAAGTAACGTGCTCCGCCAGTGGAATGTCTTTCCCATGGAGCTGGAACGCTGACATTTGCCGTTTGTCATTTTCTCGGTTAAGCTGCAATCCGTTTTCTCATTTGGTTCATATTCCATATTACATCTAATTACTGGTACGCGCTACCTGTGAGGACGCCAACCGGATGTACTGTTGGAATAACGACATAAGAGCACCTTTTTAAAGGCCTGCCGAAAAACTTTATTGAATATTGTATAAAATATGGGATTCACCATAGAACTGGCATAACCAAGCCATGTGACAACATCGAATACCCAATGATCAATATTTTGTTCACAGTCTTTGCATACCGTAGGCAAGAGGTTCAAAACGAAGAATGGGGACCAAAGTATGACAAATGTAAAAAATACTACTCCCAATACTTTAGTGGCCTTTTGCTCTAGACGTATAATACGTCCGTGACGAGATGAATTTCGTGAGATTACACTGGAATTTCGGGAATGTTGCGACCGTACAGTCTGATTTCGCTGCAAAAGACAAGGAGGAGACTGCAACGATTTTCCTTTCGATTTCACACTACCAGCGGTTGACAAGTCATTATGGTTAATAATCTGGTTACGTAAAGTTGCTGAACGATGTAAAGGAGCAGACGTACTCGACAGTAAAGAAGTTTTGGTGGGCGCCAACAGCAGTGACGTCCGTGTTCCCCCAAAACTAGAGCCTCGTCTTCTATAACAACTATCCGTATCCCAAGTGACTATTGAGGCGGTTTTCGAAATGCTTAATTTGCGTTTAGGTGTCTGCGTGGCTGCCAAATAGTGATCTCCATCAACACTTGCATCTACAGTTAAAGAATTGCTCGACGGTTTCTTACTTAAAGCGGCTTTCGTATAAGCATTTAAGGAAAAAGTATTGACATTGGTCGTGGCGGTGGTTACCGTGGCTGTGGAGGTTATAATAAAGTTGGTGGGTATGATTTTGATCTCTGCCGGTTTTCTGCAAGTCACTAAAGGGCGGTTACCGAAGTACGGACAGGTGCATACGGTGGGCAAAGGTAGATATTCGCTGTTGCCATTAGCATTAATGCAATAAATATGTGGTATATCCATTTCAGAATCGGAATGGCTTGTCTTATTTATATTGGTGTCTTGAGGCATTTCTTCGTCGTCGGACGATTTACTAGGCAAAGAACAGACTGATGGTCTTCGTTCCCTCATGACGAACAAAGTGTTTTTGGGCAAGCTGTGATACCTTTTACGACTTGGCATAGGTGACGATGTGCGACCTTTTACTAAATGGTGGGTATGAACTGTTTCGGAAGTTCTCCGCCTTTTGTTGTGCACCTTCGAAAATCGTGGTGAAGGAGAACTAGAATGTGAAAGAAAATTATATTTAAGGGAGGTATATCAACACATTGAAACGGTTTTATGCTTGGCATTTCTTTTTATTTTTTTTTTTTGTAACGACAGAATATCTGCTGCAAATAGATCGTTACGTAAAATGTTGAAAGAATTTTTATAAATATTCGCATTTATAAACGTGCATCGTTTTCTGCGCACAGATGAGTTTTCAAAGTGTTATGGTTTTATATTTCGGAAGACACAAAAATATGCTAAATATGGACGAATGAAATGATTGCGCAGGTGGATGAATGTCGAGTGTCAAACGCACAAAGCTAGATGTGTGGAAGTTGACGCCGACGGGCAGCAAAATGTATTGAAACGCGGACTGACGGCTCCACAGTGAATATCCGATGGCAGCTGCGAAGTGGACACGGTTTTTTTGCATGACGAAAGAAAAAGAATTAAATTGACAGTAATATATAAAAAATCAGGTAGAAATTTTTAAAAAATATATTCAATTTGTTGAACAGTGAAGTGTCTAATACAATAGATCACAGAATAACCACAAGTGCATCTGTTGCAAACCGCAAAAGTAAAATTGTAAACAATGCGACTGACCACGCAAACAACATAATCTTCATATCCATACGTGCGCACTTATTAACGTAATAGACGGTCTTCAACTGTTGGAAAAACGCATTCTTCGAAACTTCCTCCATCCTCGTGCACGAAGCGTATATATATGTCCGTAATGTGGTCTCTTATTATTTATTAAAATAATTTCATCCTCTCTGTTCTTTGATATTGTCGCCGTTTGGTTTATATAAGAGAACAGAGAGTGTTGTTCAATTTCATGAAGATTTCAAAGCTTTATTTTACGAAGCTATTCATTCATATTCAAAAGAATTTAAAAAGTGACTATGTTTTCTTTTTATTTTCCTCCCGTTCTCTTGCGTTCTTCCTTTCGCAAAGGACAAAAACAAAAAATGCCAAAGACTACATTGTTTGGCTATGAATGTTGTTCACAACCTTTATTTTATTGCTTGTTTAACTACAAAAAAAACAGAACATTGAGCAAACGTCCGTTTCCTATAAAATTGAATTGTATTAAAAGTCATAGGGCAATGAGAAACAAGGAGAGCTGGAAGAATAAATTAACAAGAAATGAAGGACTTTCATCTTTGTGTTGATAGGTTTTTCGCATTAAAAAATATACAATAAAGCTCAATACTGCCATTTATAATAACGTGACGGACGGGATTTATGGATTTACTTTGACAATAATGCAAAGTTACTTTTTTGAAAATACTTGCTATTAATTAGTTGCAGTTATTGTGATCTATTTGGAGCACTTATCGCAGGCTGAGGATATACCAATTATGTCCTTCTATTGTTGCGTGCGTTGCGAAGAATGCATCTACAGTTTCGGAAATTCGAATAACACAGATTCTCTCCCGATTCTTCCATTCACTTACTGTCATTTTTTTAATTCGCTTAATTCTCTCATTCCTTTTTTTATTTATTATTCGCATTATTATTATATAACATTTTCTTCACTTCAGCTTTGGAGATTTACGTAAATGATAAAATGTTACATCTAGTAATTTTAATGATATTAATGTAATATTACAAACAAGAGCAATGTACTCGGGCAACGACGATCATTAAATACCCTACAACACTTCGCCTAGTAGGTAAATCATATTAAAAATGGCATATTCTTTTCATGCAAAGGCATAATTTTCATAAAAGCCTGCATATTGGAGAATGCCTGAAACATCACACGACGCCATCCAAATTTTGCAAACTAAATTTACTAACTAAATATTGTATTGTTTTTCATATTCCGCCATATAAGACTAGAAATTAGACTTTTCTTCCTATAAAGGTTTGTCTTTCGTGTTAGGGTTTAAAATCTGATTCAAATTCCTTACCGTTAAGTTTTTTTTTGATCAGTTGCTGCTATGGACCAATTTTTATCATAAAATATTAAAAATGTGATTTATATGGAGACCATTTAACTTTTATGGTCAAGCTTCGGGTCGGATGAGGCAATGTTTTGAAGCTTCTGCCATATCACCATTACTAGGCAAACTAAATCTTAATATGAGAAACAGACCTAGTTTTCAATATTTCTATTATATATTAATTACACATAAAAAGTAAGCTTACCATCTTTAGATTACGTAAATCTATGTTTTGGGTCCCAATGACAAAAGATCCTCTATAGCAGAAGCATCTAATATTTGATATTTTGTTACGAAAATTGTTTCATAGGAGTAGTTTGCAACAAAACTCAACTGTATGAACTTTGGATTAAGTGTGCTTATTTTTTGGACCTTATCGCATATGAGTATACTCACAAAATATTAAACGCTTATGTGCCAAAAAGGCCTAATTTTTAATATTTTATGGTGGAAATTTATCCGTAGTAGCAATGCAGCATAAAAATAATGATCATGTAAATCCATTTTTCAGACCTCACCATAAATAGTAATTCACACAAAATAAGACTTTCTATGGCGACAAAGCCTTATATGTACTTTTTTGTGACGGAAGCAATTGAAATATAATCTTTGACCAGTAAATTTGTTTTTCTAAATTTGCGCCATGTTAGTTAAAGTTTCTAATATCCTCCACTATGTCGGCTTCCATGAATAATAGGCGTTTACGTAAAAATGCTGCGTAAATTTTGATGTATTGGTATGAATAGGAAAGAATGAATTAGTATTGTAAGGTAACTAATGTTCGGCCTTTCCCGGTAAATAGTTTTCTTAATTGCTTTGAACTGAAATGAAATGGTTTCGTCTACTTTGGTTGAAGTATATGTTTGTCAGAGTCAAAGTCTGTACTCGTTTTAGTCCCAGACGAAGGTGTAGTTTCGAGTCAATCAGCTAATTGGAGAGCGACAGTATTGAATGGCATGGACATTCGAAGTGCGCTTTCTTTGATTTCGAATGAGGACTCATATGGTTTAGAATCCAATAGCCTCGTGTGGAATATTGTAGCGTTCAGTCGCACAAAATACATAAGTATTAATTCCTTTTGGGTTCGGTTGTCGTTAGAGACGGATGTGATTCTTTAAGTAGTTTTGTTAAGTCGTGCAAATTAAGTTTTGGTTTGCATCAAGCCGCGGAAAATGTGCTATTAAGTCAAGACTTAGTACACATGGGGTAAATAACATTCCCAGAAATATTAGACGTAGTGCCACAAATATAAAATAATTAATTAAGTAATTAACAATATAATGGCGTTAGTAAACGCTAAATAAAAATCAGTTCATATTACGAAATCTAAGGATGTGTCTAAATCCGTTTTTCCAAATAAGACAACTTTCAGCGCAGTTTCCGTAAGTATACTTTTTTTTAGAAAGCGTGTTAAGAAGAACAGAAAGTCAGAAAGACCAAGTGCCTGACGTAGGTGTCGTAGGGCCACGGCGAACTTTACTTTTATAAAATTTCCTCCGCAGTCGCAATCAGTATATAATAACACGTCCGTCTGATTATATCCGAAATTCTCGAATCTGCTCGTCCTGTCCTCTTACCGTATAATAAGATGACAAAAAATTGTTTTCAAATGAAAATCTCAACTAAGCACAACGTGCATAACATATCCCGAAAATTCTCCAAAGTCATATGCTTATATACTATATATGTATGTTTATATGCATCATACGTACGACGCATTTACTTACCGGATTCTGGCTTTAAATTCCTTTACATTGTTAGATGAGTTAAATAATTGCCTAGAGCATGAATTCTTCCGAAATTGTGTATGTTGTTGCTGTTGACTTTGTGCTTGTTCTGCACTGTTAACATTTTGTTGCTTAGCTGGCTTTTGCTTTGGCTCGCCATTCAAACTCTCTGAGATTGGATACTGTTCCTTAATACGTTGCTGTCGAGTGATATGAAGGTTGTTTTGGGTATGTGTCGCGTTACAGCTTGTATGATTTGGTGTCGTTGACAATTCCGATTTGGCAGGTGATTCAGTTGAAGATGTAGCCACTGATTCTAAACCGCGTGACAATTTTAACATTTCTGCTCCGAATTGATGTAAAGCAGTCATCGCGGTAGGTGTGGGTTCAGGCACACTGTAAACATAAAACAGAGATAGCTAAACGTTTCTTTACAAACGATTTGAGTAAGGAGATTATCTACCTTGATTCTGGCAACCACAACTCATGGTTATCAAGCGTTGATAACTCCGTATCGGTCGAGTTCGCCGAGTGTGCATGCAAAGTCGATGAAGTTGCACTTTGACCAGTTTTTAGAAAACGACGCCAAGTGCAACGACGTTCTTTTAATGGAGAAAAATGTTGAATGTTATGCGTATAAAAAAACTTTAACTTTGTTTTTTTTAAGTAAGTTAATGAAAAATTGAATTCTTGAGATTGTTCGCACAGCCTTGGTAATAAAAGAGTTAATAAATTTTTCAATAGTTCGATAATAATGCAAAAAAAGGAAAGGAAGGTGTGGATGTTGGTTTCTTTTATATGCAGTTGAAACAGATTTTTACAAGAATTTGCATAAGAGACTCATTTTTCATTTGGTTGCTAATTGTTGTTTGCTACGTACTTACTTTTCTTTAAAAGAAAAACCTTTAAAGGTTTTTTATTGAACATTATCTTTGAAACTTACCGATAGCTGGTGCTTGTCCCAACCAACTGCTAGCCCAGCCAGGTGTTGCAGCTTGATTTGTGCCACCTAAGTTTTGACGCTGCTGTGCTAATAATCTTACCGTTAAGCAATATGTTAGTAGCATAACACCCAACGGTATATAAAAGCAAACAATCGATCCGACCAATTTGTAAACCGGGTCTGGTATTTGGCAGGTGCCGTTCACCAGGACGGAAGCGTGATTCTGTTAACAATGAAACGAGTATTGAAGAAAAGAAGCATAAAACAAGTGACAAATTTTTATTTATTTAACAGCGAACCTTTTATTTGATACCCTTCAACTTCAAGCAATATATTATAACTATATACACTTATAATTTATGAACTGTGTTTGTCTGTGTCAGTTATAGTCGATCGAGACCGTTTCGAATTAGATTTTTACCTCTAAGATAGTACATCTGTACATGATTTTAGGCAAGTGTTTCTTATAGACTGGTTGACTTAGTTCCTCTTTTGCTAATGTGCTTATAGGTGGATATTTATAATTTTCGAGTGGCTTCGCATGTGCAAGTGGTGCTATGTTTACGTTCAAAAACTGGACTTTTTTGGCCGTTTAAAATTTCTTCCCCCTCTTAATTCAGTTTTTCCCATCTCTTTTGAATATTTAAAATATTATTTAAATTTATATTCTCCGGGACCGACTTGGCAAAACGAATGATCCGATTTACTAAGTTAAATATACGAAATTTCGTACGCTGGTTTTTGGACTTTGTATCTTTATCTTTTATCTCTATAGCCTTGACCATGATAGTAGTTGCTATATCACTTATTCTTTTTTCTTTTCCTTTTGATTAGATTATCACTTATGTCTCTTAGATTCTATTCTATATCCCATCGCAGATATTATTTTGTAACTTTGTGACTCTGAGCCTTAGGACGTGTGCAAATGTCGGTCACTTGCTAACCATCATTTTTCCTGTCGGCTACCTAGAAAATCGAAAATCGAATGTCTCGGCTGTTGCACTCCATTCTAAGATCAAACCAATCTCCTAGATCTTAGGCAAGTACAATGTTTTCAAGTGAGTTGTGCCAAACTCGTTTACGTGCACTCTTAAACTAATCTTAACCTATTCTTAGCTCGGCACAAAGGAAATATATGAACTCAAAATGTAGGATGAGTTTCAGTCCTCACAAAAGATGACAAAAAATCAAAACATTATTTCCCGATATGTTTTTTCACTATCTTCTGCATTCACTCCAAAGAGAGGTAGCATCATATTTTCAAAAAATATCTATTCCAAAAGGATCTATTTCTGGCTTCAAAGGCAATCGAAATGATTTAGTTCAGCATATACTAGGGTCTTTTTCGTTAGGTTTTGTAAAACTGCGAATTATGATAAATAATTGAAATTTTCAGAAAAATATCAATTGCTTTCAATGAGCTTCCTAGGAATGAAATTTAAAAAAATATATACATATATATAAAAACGAACAAGGAAATGTTAAGAAATATATTTCTCTTTAATAGTAATGAACTTGCCCTCAATGCAAGCCGCACGTACCCGTTATTAAAAATAAAAATAATGTTTTCATGTCAAAAATCAGAGAGAGATAGCATCAAACGCCAAACCAAAAGAAAAAACAAATGTATAAGAGCCTCCATTGTTCCTTTTATTTTTGAGGCTATCAAACTAACAAAGATAGCAGCATGCTATCAAGTCGTATAATAACGTTACCATAAATGTTCACTTTTGGGTCTAACCCACTTATGCATAGAAATCGTTAATATTCATGGTTTGCTTTTATATGGCTACTCAACTTACCTTTGAATACATTAAGCTCAACGGCAAACTCATGGCAATGGATAGAAGCCAAACGAAGACTATTTTTAATGTGACACGCCTACGTGTTTTGTTGCGGCCGAAACGCATTGGATAGCGCAGCGATAAATAACGATCCACTGAAATCGTGCATAGGTGCATAATACTCGCTGTGCAAAATAAAACATCCAAGCAAATCCAAGTTAGACAATGTTCAGAGCCCAAAGGAAAATAACCTGGAATTTTTATTTTAAAAATACATTAAATTTGATAACAACAACACTTAAAGATTTAATAAAGTCTTATAGGGCTAATGCTGTTTCCTCTATATGCATTAACATCCGCTCTAGAAGGGTACACTGGTACAACCGGTTGCAGTTTGTTTCACAATTAAAAAACTTCATTTTACCTTTTGTTTAGGCGTTACTTTAAGAAAAAGCTCAAAGTCTTTCAATTTACTAGATTTAAACAAATTAAAACATCGTAACTGTTTAAAGCGCATCATTAAGTAATCTCAAGTAAGTAGTTTCGGCAAATCTCGTCATAAAAGACCAAAATAACTGCGACGTGAAGATTTCCTATTTCTGAAAATGTTTACATACGCGGAAACATTGATAAGGGATAAAGAATTTTTCAAAATATTGCGTTTCCTGGGGAGTGGTTATCAATATAATCGAAACTAATCCGTTTTTGGGCAGAAGCGTGTCAGTATACCAAATTGGACCAAAACATCTCGAGAATACGATTCTTAAAGTGAATCCGTGGGCGCATGGTCAGACGTCAAATAAGTAGACGGACACATTTGTTTAAATCAACTAAAAAAATGATTACGAGTTTATTGGCATAACTAAAGACGGTTTCATCTCCAGTTCGTTTGATTTTGCAAACAACCGCGCGAAATCCATTCCACAACAATGGTTGTTCGTTGAGTTGTTGAAACTTTAAAGCAAACGAAATCAGAAATTTAATTTGCGTATATAGATGGTGCGTTGAAATTCTGTAAAAACTTCTTTGAAATAAAAAAGGCGCGAAAATGTCTTATTTTTAGTATGACTATGAAGTTTCTTTTCAGCACGATATTGTACAATATAACACATAAAACCAAGATTCAAATTTGATTTTAAATTATAAAAGGGTTTTGTAACTACTTTAAATCTAGCCGGATCAACAATCATACGGCCATAGTCCTCTTAAAATATTATGAATACGCGTAACTGTGTAATTAACGTGTCGCACTAACAAATTCAATATCTTCATCGATCATTTTAAGGCGTGGTAAAGCACAATGGCTTGAGTTTTGCTTTTCTTTAAATCGTGACGTCGACGATATTTAATTTAGTATTAACACATTTAGCTTGTTGCATTCTACCCTCCAAGTCCTTTTATTTGATACCTTACTGATTATACTGCTAGGAAACAACGAATTCGCCACCTTGTGGGGTCCACCATATTTATTTTAGGATTACCAAATTTTTAGACGGATTGCACATCTTCAAGTGAGGAACGTGTAGCGAATAAACATTTTTTGTGCAGGGGTCGAACTCGCTGGTGTGTTCTAGAAGCTTCTTATGTTATTTTACTACCATACCTTAAGGGCCGATACAGAAATCAACGCACTTTGACTTTTCGACAACATTATAATTTACCTTTTATTGAATAAGGTTTGGTGCCTGAAGTTAATCCTGCGATAACGAGAATTATTTCCATTGGTATTGGGTTTCTCCGTGTACACAAAACTTGAGCAAATTGGTAAATTTAACATTAGTTCAATTCTTATGCTGCGGCACTACCAGTTGATATCTTGCGCTAATATAACATTCTTAAGTGTATGAGACCGAATTTACCTATACGGCTTTTTTTTAGATTTGATTCATTGACTTACTTTAGTAGATTGATCGAAAGACGAGCATTGCGTTACGGTTTACTTATACGCGGTTTCTTTACTTCTTCTAGCGTTTTACCACTATTCCAAATTATAATGGATGTCGGGGGATACCAAATCAATATTCGACACGCGCTTTACGCCTAACCCTTCCCTACACGGATTGTAATCAAACACCTTTTTTCGGAAATAGAAAAAAAATGAAAGTCAGAGCTGTAATGCGAGTTACTTTATTTCCGACTTTCGACCATTTTACGATTGGCGCTGCCAATCGGAAAGAATCTTTTATTCGAAATAAACCTATCTACATCGATTACCTTATCATCTTTCCTTACATTAGGTTCGTAGTTTAGTCTATCATACATTAAATATAATAATACTTATAAACTGATCGTACAAAATAAATTTCAATATTCTGTCGTGCTTGCCTAATAAGTAATAAACAGAAAATCTTAAAAAAGGTAAAAAACAAAAATTTGATCACGTATAACTTTAGGTGGACATGGCCGATTCTTCGTTTTTCTACTTGAACACCGTGAAGTTAATATGGAAAATTGTAACCTTCTATATTTCAATGAGTATAAGAAAAAAACCACAAGTTTTTGGCTGGGTACACGGATATGTGTTCAGTTTACACTTCACTGTGGTTTGTGCTTTGCCTAATTTGTCCCGTTTTCTCAATTTTGTTTTTTTTTTCCCATCGAAGGACTAGTACGAATTTTATTCTTTTCCTGTGGTTTTCTATGGTACAGTTTTTATATGTGTTTTTGTTAATGCGGTATAGACCAATAGATGTCATTTGCGTTTCTCACAATTTTATTATACGTACTTTCAAATTCGGATTGCGCTCAAGCATGTCCGCCTGTGCATGTGTCCGCCACATAGACTGTGCGGTATCTGCGGAAAACATTTTCCCGTTCGCAAAAATAAAGATATCGCCTACAAATGTGCTAAATAATTTCAAAGCAGCCCAAAGTTGTCAGAGAACACGTTTACAACGTCCACGGTCCACAGTTGCAAACGTCACAAAAACTGCAAACACCTTTGCTTTCCGTGTTTTTTGCTTATAAAGTACAATAGGTACACCATATAAATTTTCACCTTTACTTTGGAAATAGAAAAAAGTCAGTCGTGTGTACCTAATATTATAGAGTACGAGAAATCAATTTGTTTACTTCTTTTTCGTTTTTTTTAAGATAACAGTGATAAAAGATTCGTTCACGGCCGAACATAATTTTCTTACTTGTTTTATATAGCACATTTTAAAACTTGTTTTTAAATTTGAAGGCAAAGTTCTCTACTCTAGCAAAAAGTTCTAAGCAAATGCCGAATCATCACACATCTTAATTTTGCTAACATTTTTATTTCGTCTTGCTGGATGTGGTTCGTCTTTAACTGCTGCTCTACCATTTTTAATATCTTTGTAAAGTTTGTAAGCCTCCGCTTGAGCTATAGGGCTATCACCACAATGCTTTTTTAATATTTTCAGTTCAGTATTCAGGATTAACACAAGCACTTTGTCTTTTTAAACAACATTTTATTCAAGTTTTCCTTCGTTCGTTCGTAATTTATTCATTAAAAATTTCTCGGCAATAATTTCAAGAATTGCAACAGGCTCTCTAAATTATGAACTAATAAACTTATTGACATTAAGTTTCTATCCGATTTTAGTAAACATTCTGTTCATTTTTTGAAGCACCGTGAAGTCTACGTACACAATATATCCGCGTTTTTACGTGGCTTTTGTATCCTATACCACTTCTAAGGGTATATTAAACTTGTGCGGATATATGCTCATCCTTCCCATATCATTCGTTTTAGAATAATTCTTTACGTCGATTTAAGGCTGTCTGCCCGTCCGACAGTGTATTTTTATGCTCAACATACAATCCACAAATTTTTAAATGAAATTTTAATCAATTTTGGTAGACTGCCATGTTTTTGTAGAAAAACAAGCTTCGCTGATCATGAATTAGGTAGGACGATTTTCCGAAAACCCTTTTTTAAGCTAAGTAGTTACATTAAAGAAATTTGCAATTAATTATTTTTCTCGCGAAAAATCGCTAAACAGTTGTGTATATACGTCATATGTGTATGTATGTATATCTATATATATATATATATATATATAAAAAAGAAAAGAAAAATCGCTAAACAGTTGTGTATATACGTCATATGTGTATGTATATATATATATCTGCGCACACACTAAACGAATGAGGAGAATTTCGCTGCAGGCGGTTTACTGTGTAGAGTAAAAAAAGTTCGCTTCTCGGCTTTATGACGAGGATCGAAGTGTTAATAGTTTCCTATATACCTTCTTATAAAAAGTAATCATTTATATGGCAACATGGATGTTTTTTGAGAAAAGTTTGTTCGTAATAATGATTTGTCATATCAATTATTTATCCCTGATTTGATCCACATTGATCTATATTTCTCACGAAAAATAGTCCTTTAGATGGCAATGAAGTCCTATTTTTAAGCCTTTTATGACAAAAATTGGAAAAGAATAATAATTTTTTGGAGAACAAAGCTAACTTGGCTGTCCTTTCACCCTCCTGTGCAATGCTTCTCATAAACGGTGAACTTTAACTTAGTAAAAAACTCTAATGTTTAATATATCATCATAAAGATAAGTATAGATATTTTTTAACCATAGTCAATAAGATCTGTAATGGTTTGCTCATTTGGCGGTAACGTTTTCACTTTTTTTACACATGCAGTCATTTGAAGTATGAAAGCACAATTTACAAATTTTGTCCTGGGTAAGATTTTAAATTTCTGTTGTCATTTCTCTGCAAGTTTGTTTATCTGCTGTTTGTGAAGCGCAAGGTAAGAGTATTTCATTTCGCCTATCTATCTACACGTAACGTATAAGAGACATTCGCGGATTTGCTGATCAAATATTAAAAAAGGGTATGATTTTCATTGAGCACTACAGAAGAAATCTTAAAATGGAATAAATTTTTCCCCGAAAAGTTTGACAAGATAAAATACCGGAAACTTTCATCAATAAACTAGAAAATCTATCTAAAGATAGCAGAAACACATAGTAAACGGGTTAAAATGGACCGCTGACTACCGACAACTAATTAAAACAACAAAACACCGAGAGCTGATTTTAAATTAGACAATTCTTGAAATTTCAGCAAGTGATCGACTGATGCACGATAGAACTGATGGGTCTAGATGGTTAAGACGACCTGCACGCACGTGAAAAACGTACACTCTTTATGATGTCTCTAATACTGATACTAACATCCATGACTGCGAAAGGCTTGTAATCTTTGTTTAATTACTTGAGATGACGATGAGTATCGCAGGTTCGGCTTTGACCACAGAAAGACGTCG